GCCATGCTGCAACCCCTTCTCCTCCATTCTCCTCTCAGGATTTTGGGCACTCATGTGCATGTGCCTGGTGTGAGTTTTAAGCTGCTGGGTCTGGGACTTGAACTGCAGATGACTACATGGGAGTCCAGCAATGTAACCATTACGCCACCTGCTGGTCCCTGGAAGATATGCTTTTTGATACTAACTTTTCTATTAGGGGGAGAAAGCATCAGAGAAAAAGATGACAGTGATTTTGTTCTCCTTAATGTCCAACTTGATGGTTTTATAGGTCTGTATGTCTGTGTACATGCACACACACACACACACACACACACAGGGCTAGCCAACGGCATGGTGGTTGGGACAGCAGGATCTCACATGACCGACTACATGATATGAGTTCCAAACCTGGTGGCTTAAAGACACACCAAGTGTGTGCGCGTGCGTGCCCCAAATCCCAACAGGACATGGTGTTATGGAGGGGTCGCCATCCCCCCAGGGGGCCGTTTCTCACTCTCCCTCTCTGTCTCTCTCCGGTGAGCACCTGCCCTATAATAAGCTGAAACAAATATGTGTGTGTGTTGTTGTTGTTGTTATTGATTCCATATGGAAAGACCCATTTTCCAGGAAAGAGTCACAATAAGTTACTTAAGCAAGAAAAAAATTACGTTAAGAGAAGAACTAAAATAAATTACATTATCCTAAATATTCCTTTAAAAAATTTATCAAAAACTTTTATCAAAAACCTAAGATTCATTAAGATTAATCATTCACATCAAGTCTAACAGAATTTCAAAGCATTAGTATTACTTAAATAAATTTCAAAAACATTAAGCAAAGCATATTTTATAAAAGAAGGAAAACTAACGTCAACACTGAAGCTGGAAAGAAAATTTTGAAGGCAATAAATTGTGCATTTCTTTTTACTTTATGAATAACTGCTCGAGTTTGTAATTTAAAAAATAATAAAGATGTACAAAAAGAATATTCTGGATGTGAACAAACCATTAGGTTGATGCACAGAAAAACGTATCATGACTTTCCCAACAACCCTGGTAGTTTCTAAGGCCTAATCCTTTGGGGCTGAAGAACCAAACCTCTAACATGGTGTTCACAGGAACAAGCCAGCTGGTGGGCTTCTTACAAGTAGGAGTGGAAGCCAAGCGTCAATGAGCCTGCCTCGGTGGGTCAGCTCACTGAGGTGCTGCTGGGAGGCCAGTGACTGTGAATGGCCTGCACTCATGTGCGTGAGGCACTGCACCTGCAAAGGACAAAAAACTGCAGAAACATTGCCAAATGTGTCTAATTTGATGGGAGGATAAACAGCTAAAGTAGATTTTAAAAATAATTTCAGGGCCAGCAGGCAGAGTGGGTAAAGCGCTGGACTCCCACATGGTTGACCACAGTTTGAGTCCTGGACACAGCAGCCTGAAATTCATGCCAGGCGTGTGTGTATGCATGTCCCAAATTCCAAGAGAATAGATGAGAATGGAGGAGAGGGAATACGGCATGGCCACCCCCTCAGGGGTGATTTCTCACTTGCCCTGTCCCTCGTTCTCTCTCTGTTTCTCTCCAGTAAGCGTATGTGCCCTATAGCAAAAATCTCGCTCTCTAAAATACTACTTCAGCACTGCTCTCAGGTCACCTGTTGCCTAGGTGTTTGGAGACATTCTCATCGCTGAGAAGAGGTACTAGGGCTCTTCCAATTAACAGCCACTCTTCAGAAGGTCAGACAGTTCAAAAGAATGCAGGGGGGCACATACAGATCAAGTTCTGGGAAACATGGTGAAATCTAGTGTACCGTTCTTTTATGAGATTTTATTTGCAAATAAAAAGAGCCTATGAGTGGGTTTTTAAGCAACAGAAGGACAACTAGAAAACAGAGTTAAAGGCAGTCAGCTGGAGGATGGCGATTTCAGACCATATTGACAGGGACAGCTTCTTCATTAGGCTTCCAGAGGCATCTGGGAGGGGAGCTGTCCAGTGGAGTGAGCTGACTCTTCTTCCAGCTTCTCTCCACTTCTAAGCCTTCTCCAATGCTAACTACCAAAGGCTGGGACCCCTAGGGACAGTCAGCAGGCCCAAGGTTATCAAAAACTAAAACATTCAAAACAACCATCCCTGGGGCCAGCAGTAGCATAGCGGTTCTGTCGCTGGACTCCCATATAGCCAACCGTGGTTTGAGTCCTAGACCTGGCAGCTTGAAATACACCGTGTGCGTGTGTGTGCATGCCCAAGGTCCCAGGAAGAGAATGGAAGAGAAGGGATTATGGCATGGCCATCCCCTTGTGAGGTGATTTCTCACTTTCCTTCTCACTGTCTCTGCCTTTCTCTCCAGCAAGCACCTTAAGGCAAAACCCCTCCCTCCTCTTCCTCTCTCTCCCTCCCTCTCTTCTCTCTCTCTCTCTCTCTCTCTCTCTCTATATATATATATATATATATATATATATATAAAAACAACTGTCTTGAAGGAGGCAGTATGGATATGGACATTGTGCAAATTAAGGGAAGCTAATCTCAAAACACACGCACTGACAAACCAATTAATGAATGCACATCTTCTAATCACCTGCTTATTAGCTTAGCAAAAGTCTGACACTGATGGTAAGCCAGAGCCCTGGGAGCTGCACCTTTAAAGTTCTGCTGTCAGAATGGAGTATAACTTTCAAGGCACCTACAGCTACATTTTTAAGTTAGTTTATCAATAAAGGAAAAAAAGTGGCCAGACAGTGGCACCGTGGTAAAATACAGCACACTCTGAGGCTGGCCAGGGGGAGGTTCTGGGCTGGTGTCTGCCTCCTTGAGTACACTGCGCACACCTGTGCCCCGATCTGGGGCTGGTTGAAGCTGGGGGTGGGTGGTGACCTCGAGACCCTGTGGGGGTGCCATCTCTCCCTCTCTGTCTGACTTGTGGAGAAAATAAAGGAATAGACTTAAAAAAAAAGTTACAGTCTAGCCTAAGTAAAATTGGATATTACATTTGCCTGATTATCTATTGCAAAAGTGAGACCAGCAAGCGGACAGTTCCCAGGAAGCAAAAAAGTAAAACCGAATTCAGGTTTTATATCTTTTTGTGATTCCCAAGGGACAGTGTAACACACAGCGCAGCACTGCAGGCCTAGAACAAAATGCTACAGTGGCTGCATCTGCAGGGCAGAACTTGATTTCCCTCCCATTTTGTCAAGGAACAGTCAAAGAACATATTATGTGAGCTTCATTCTGTGGGAATGGGACACTGAATACATGACATAAGAAACTGAAAGGTATTTCAGAAGTCATTTAGCTTCTAAACTTTCATTTTATAGATATAGAGCTAAGATACCAGAATAGAAAACGTGTCCTTTATCACTCTTCATCTTTTTACCTGGTTTTAGTTTCTTCATAGCATTTAACATTATCTGAACTTACAGACATACATAATACTTTTTTTCCTAGAAAAAAAGGAAACACCCTGAGAGCAAGCATCTTTATTTCATTCATTGACAAACCTTCAATTTTTAGGACATTCTGTACCTAGCACATAGTAGGTATTTAATCAGTATCTGTGAGATGAATAAGAAAACTATAGAAAATGAGAAAACACGTTGAAATGTCACACTTGAATTTGTTGAGAGTCCAGAATCTTTGTGACCTTTATCCCCCAAAATGACCACACTTGAGCTGTATGAAGTAATGGAGCCCAACTACCAAAGGGTGAGTCAACATGGAGTAAACGTTTCTTTGAACAACAAATGAGCTATTCGGACATACCAGATATAAAACCAAAACTGTCACAAAAATACCTCCCGAGAACTGGATCCAGGACCTCTATGAGCACGAAAATCCAGATACTAAGTCCCTTACATAAAATACCATCGTATTTGCATATAACTTTCTTACATTCTCTCATACATTCAAGCCCACTCTAATTACTTTTAATACCTAATACAAAGCTTACTACATCACTTTGTTTCTGTGGGTTTAACATAGTATTTGGAGTGTGGCAAATTTGAGTTTTACTTTTTGGAACTCTGTGGAATTTTTAAAAAAATATATTTTCAATCTGTACCTGACTGACTATTCAGAGGGTCAACTGTATATATTATGTTTTTCCCAACTTGATGTCTAGGAAACATCTGCAATTTGTACTGTGAACTCTTTATTCAAGCTGAAACTGATTTATTATATAGTTATTACTACTGCTAAACAAATTCATACTAGAACCTCAGACATTAAAAAAACTCAGCAGCATACATTTTAAGTTACTTACGAAGGATGAATTTTACAAAAACTCTATCTGAAAGTTTATTTGGGGGGGGGAGGAGAGATTTTATTTATTTATTTTTTGCTAAAGGGTGTGTGCACACTCATTGGAGAGATAGAAACAGAGAGAGAGAGAAAGTGAGAAATCACCCTACCCCACCCCCGGAGGGATGGCCTCATCACAATTCCTTCCCCTCCATTTTCCTCTCAGGACCCTGGGCACACATGCACATGTGCCTGGTGTGAGTTTCAAGGCACCAGGTCTGGGACTTGATCCATGGTCAGCCATGTGGGAGTCCAGCAGCTTAATCACCATGCTACCTATTGGACCCCTAACTCTTATTTTAATTAAAAGAGTTCTTCTTCAGGCTATTATGTAGCACATTAGCAACGTGTATTAAATCTAAACTCTATTGATTTAAAATAATGAAAAACTAACATAATTAACCCTCTTCTCTGTCTTTCCTCTTCATTTTCAAAGACCTGGAGATTATAAACGAATAAAACTAATCAAAGCTATGAGGACACAGAAACATAAGCAGCAAGACTCGTAGTATCATGTGTTTTTAAAACATTTCTTCGTTGTAATAATGCCCATTCATGTATTCACCACACATTCAGCACCCATTCTATTGTGCTAGCCCAAGCACCTTGCCAGTGATTAGAAGAAAGAAGTAACCACATATATATTTGAAGAGATAAAACCTGGAAAAAGATCTCTTAGGCTTCCAGTAAATGTGAAGGATTACAAAACTGTTCAAAAAGATGTTTCAACTTACATTTTGTTCCTCTGGTTCTAATTTGGGGATTTTGTGTGACTTGCGCTCTTCAGATCGAGATGAGTCATGCTTGTTGCTTTTTTTCCTCTTTTCTTTTCTGCTTTCATGCTTTGACTTTGTGTGCTCACTTGCCTGTACTTCATTTAAAAGGTCTCCACAGAGGGAAGACTCAAACAATTCCCTGCCATTCTGAATAGTTTTGGTTATTTTTAGTTTAATTTCAGGTGAGCCAGTCTTCTTTGGAATCACAGTTTGTGGTACCGAAGGTGGAGGTGGTGGCTGTGGAGGGGAAGGTTTTTCCAGAATTTCGTGTGGTCGTGTGTTTGGAATTTCTGAATGGTAATAGTCAGTGGGGCTAAAGTTTCTAACTGCACCAAAGCCATTGGCTGACCCATTGGGATACTGATTATAGGGCTGGTATTTGGTCTGAGTTTCATACACACTGATTGATGGTGGGTAGCCATTTGTGAGTGGAGGAAGATCGTCTGTTGTAGGTGGGTACGGAAAGCCTTGCTGCAAGGTAGCTTCATACGGTGTCTGGCCACCATCTTCAACAATGTCACTGTTGTTATCAAAGGCATCCTCCTGACGGATGTTGGCGGAGTCAATGAGTTGAGGTGGTTGCTGAATTGTGTTTCCCATGATCCCTTGCATGAAAGAGAAGGAGAAATCCATTGTTCTGCTCCAGCATCCTTAACTTTCCCTTTCTCTCATCGGGCCTACAATGATAAGAAAGGGAGGATTAAAAGACGTTAATATCCTAACAAGCTAGAGGTTAATCAATTGAAGAAAGATTAAACCAAAATGCTTTGAATTCAACTTTCATAGCTAGATGTATATTGACATCAAATACTTCTAAAAACAGCCAGCCAGCATAATTTGACACAGGGCAAATACTTTTTTATCTTAAGTGTTTCTTTGTTTTTGTCACAACAATCTTGGCAACAAAATTTTATCCTCTTACAAATAGGCAAATGGTTTTGGGAACCAGCAGTTAGTGTAATGGCTATGTCGCTGGACTCCCACGTAGTCGACCGCGGTTTTCGTCCCGGACCCGGTGGCTTAAAACTCACGCAGGGTGCGTGTGCATGCGTGCCCAAGATCCCAAGAGGAGAGTGGAAGAGAAGGGATTGTGGCGTGGCCACCCCCCCTGGGGGGTTATTTCTCGCTTTCTGTCTCTCTGTCTCTCTCTGTCTGGCGAGCGCAAGCGCCCTATAGTGAAAACCTCTCAAAAAAAAAAAAAAAAGGCAAATGGTTTTGACATTCCTTTCTGTTCCTGAATTATGGATATAAGTCTCATGTTAAAACTTGTATTTGGAAATAAGCCGTGTCCTGACATATATAATAAATTAGTTTCCATGAGCGTCCTTTAAAATCAATGACTTGTTCAGTGACTTTCTTGTTACAAAATAATAAAGACTTTCGGCAAGGACTTTAAATATGAATGTAAAAAGACCCATTCCTCTGCCTCCTGCATCATTTCTGCTCTTCTCGCCATGGACAACTATGGTAAATACTCTTGAGTATTCTCTTATGTCTTCCTCTGTACATATACCTAAAAAATAGGGCTTATTGGGCCTGGCAGGTGGTGTAGGGGTAAAGGTACTGGACTCCCACGTGAACGACCATGGTTTAAGACCCAGTCCTGGAGACTTGGAACTCAAGAAAAGCCCAAGAGAATGGAGACGGGATTGCAGCATGACCATTCTTCCTGGGGGGTTGATTTCTCACTTTCCCTCTCACTGCTTCTATCTTTCTCCTCTCTGGCAAGTGCACATGTCCTATGGCAAAAAACTTAGGAGAGAGAGAGAGAGAGAGAGAGAGAGAGAGAGAGAGAAATAAACATATCCCAGCTGACTATGTGCACACTCTTGGTTAGTTGGCACCACTACACTTTTAACAATTATTACATATCCTCTAGAAGGTATCTACAGATGCCCACATTACGTAACAATATAATACAGATAAGTAAGTTAGGAAATGCTACAGGACCACCCTGTTCACTCATTAGGTTTGACCAGTCCACAGCTCAAGGGAGAGGACTGATAGACAACCCATATATTATTTTTATTAGCCCATATACATTTCTTCTAGCAAGTTGTACAGTAGAGAAACAGGTTTTCACTAGTACATCAACTCTGACGAGCTGTAGCTGCCTGGAACATGGATTCTGTAGCCACATCCCGGTTTAAGATGATTCTACCATCTTGATTTTAGTAGGATTTGCCATAATGATAAAGCAACCCAAAATAGCAAAGCAAAAACAAAAGACGGCAATACACTGTTCTAGGTGTATCCAATTACACGGCTGCTGTTTATTCTGCTCTTAGCCAATGAAAATAATTTCAGAAGTACTAAAATTGCAAACAAATTAATATGACAGAACATACAAGAACTCAAACTAGGGGAAAAAGAGCACTCTTGTTTTTGTGGTGTCTACTCTGGGCCACACTCTATGCATCATCTCATTTAATCCCCATAACAACTCTGCAAAACAGGTACATAGTAAGAGAAACCGAGCTTCAGAGAGGTTAGGTGGTCTGCTGAAACCACAGAGCAAAAGGGCAGATCTAGACTTGAATGTAAGCACGTCTGACTCTAAAGCACAAGGCTTTTATCACCATACCACTTCCGCTTCCCGCAGCTATCAGTTCTGAAAGAAGGATTTGGTTCTTTCTTCATAATTCTGTGTTCCTTGGCCACTGCCAAAATAATGACTAGCTTAAAAACTACCGTTAACACTAAATCAGTACTTCCTAAGTGCTGGGCCCCATCTAAGTGCTTTTCATACAGTACACATTTAATACTCCCCGCTACCATCAGGAGCTATTACCTCCTGTGACAGAGGGAGAAACAGAGGCACGTGGTTAGGAATCCGGTGACTGAGTTGGGGTTCGGCCCAAGCAGTTTGGTTCCAAAGTCTGCGCTAACTAGCACACTGTACTTACTGATGATAATGCTGATGTTAGAAATCATTTCTTTTTTTCTTTTTTTGGAGGGGTTTTTGCTATAGGGCGTGTGTACTCTGCCAGAAAGACAGAGAGACAGAAAGCAAGAAATCACCCCCCAGGGAGAATGGCCACACCACAATCCCTTCTCCATTCTCCTCTCGGGATCTTGGGCACACATGCACACACGCCCAGTGTGAGTTTAAGCCACCGGCTCCAGGACTCAAACTGCGGTCAACTACATGGGAGTCCAGTGACATAGTCATTACGCCAATTGCTGGTCCCAGAAATAATTTCCTTAGGTCTGGCCCTGAAGCACAGTGGTTAAGCACTGTGCATAAGGGGCTGGATCCCACATGGCCAAATGATGTTTGAATACTGACATTGGTGGCTTGAGAAACATGCCAGGAGCGTATATACGTATGCACGCTCAAAGTCCTGATGGGGAACAGGAATGGAGGGAAGAGGCTGCAGCATGATGCTAGCCCTGGGGGTGAGGGGATGTGCGCATTCACGCTTTCTCTCATGAGTGCACACATCCTTTGGAGATTAAAAAAAGAAATAATTTCTTACTATAAAGCTAAAGAACTGAAATATTACCCTAATTCAAACTTTGGAAACAACAGAAATAAGGGAATGTTTTCAAATTCTGCTAATACACAAGGAGCAACTATAAGGTAGAATTCTAAAGTTCTCATTCATTCTTCAACTTAGCGGCGAGTAAATTCTGACATGTAACAAGACACACCCTGTGTTTTTGGTTCTTATAACTGACACATACAAGACCAGCTTCCAGGTTAGTCTTCCGAGTTACAGTCTGCAGGGGTTTTCAGGCACGCGTACTCAGAAACTGAGGTTTCCGATGCTTGTGATTTAGTTCCCAGCACAAATCTTTCTTCTTTTTTTGGAGAGGGTTTTGTTATAGGGCGCGTGCATTCACCAGACAGATGGAGAGAGACAGAGAGACAGAAAGCGAGAAATCACCCCCCAGGGGGGATGGCCATGCCGCAATCCCTTCTTCTCCATTCTCCTCTGGGGATCTAGGGCACGCACGCACACGCGCCCGGCGTGTGTTTAAGCTGCTGGGTCCGGGACTCGAATCACGGTCAACTATGGGGGAGTCCAGCAATATAGCCATTATGCTAACTGCTGGTCCCCCCAGCACAAATCTTTGAGAAGGTTGATATTCTCCCCTTATTCCTCTCTTCTGTACCCTAACCTCAAATATTTCATTTTATTTAGACTAAAAAAAGGAATTATTACCTTCTATGCAACCTTACAATTGCATAGGAGTTCATTATCAAGGAGTGTTTTCATATGCATTCTTATTCAATTCTCAAACAACTTTGTAAGGCTGACATGGAAGAAGACCCGTGTTAGCTCAAATTTTTTAGATAACTACACTGAACGCTTGAGATGCAGATTTTCCAAAGACCACAAAGCAAACTTGTGATTAAGGATCAATCTCCGGATCTCTAATCCTGCCACTGTCTCTCTCTCTCTGCCAGGATAACCAACTACCTAGGAACAATGAAACCATAACCGTAAGAGTCATAAGTTCAAAACAGCATGCACTGTCCTTTCCCTAACTCAACTTCCCTTTCAGACTGCCCAGATTTGTCACTGCTTCCATCATTTCTCTAACTTTCTGTGCTAGAAGTTTCAGGCTCATGGGTGACTAATTCTTTCCTCTCTGCTAAGCCATAACACTAATCACTGAGCAAAATTTGTAGTTTTTTCCTTTAAAATCTATCTGATTCATTCTTTGATCTTTACGTCCATGTCAAGACCCACATCAGGCCCTAGCGCTTTATCTTGAACCGTGACAACTGATTTTTCTACATATTTTTTGCCTCTAACTTCTCCCTACATAGCAGTTAGATCATGCTTCCTAAAACCAACCATTGGTGAATTTATTCCCATGCTAAGAAACTCTTAAGACCCATATAACCAGATCCTGTCCACACCTCTTAACAGCTTCAGAAGTTTTTTCCTGCCAGTACCAAATGTTATGCACATGAAGATACATCTCTAAGTACCTGCCGAACCAAATATCTAGACACTGTGGCCTCACTCATATGTCACCCTTGTTTAGTCCTCTGAAGCAAGAGTCGAAAATATCAAGGGATTTGCCTTTAATCACACAGTCAGTAGAAACTGGATGAAAAGGTAAAACCAGACCCTCTCATTCTACTACAGTGCTCTTTACAAGGCAGCTGCCTGGACTCTGCAAGTCATCCAAACGTCCCACTTTTCCCAGTAAGCCCCCACTTGTAGTCCAAATGCCTGTTTGTCGGCTCCTTTCATATCTTAGGACACCCAACAGTGAACTCCTAGGCTTTTTCTTTCTTTGTTTGGGTTTTTGTCATAGGGCATGTGCGCTTGCTGGAAAGGAGAGAGAGACAGAGATATATGGAGAGAAGGAAAGTGAGAAATCACCCTCCTGGGGAGGATGGCCTGCCACAGTCCCTTCTCCTCTCGGAACTTTAGTCATGCACACTCATGTGCCCAACATGATTTTCAAGCCACTGGGTCTGAGACCCGAACCATAATCAGCCATGTGGGAGCTCAACACCTTAACCACTGCATCATATACTGGTCCCTTAGTTTTTTCTTTTCCGAGAGATTTGTGATAGGGCACATGCATTTACTGGAGAGACAGAGAGAGACAAGAGATAGAAAGCAAGAACTCACCCCCCAGGGGGGATGGCCACACCGCAATGACTTCTTTTCCATTCTCCTCCTGGGATCTTGGACACACATGCACATGTGCCTGGCATGAGTTTGAAGCTAACGGGTCCA